ACGAATTTGTAATCAGGTTCTTATATATTCAAAAAAGTGGGAACAACCGTTAAATGTTTCGAAAACTGTAGTACAACTTTTTCATACACAAGTAAAAAGACCGATAGTAAATGTAACGATAGACGGAAACAAAATCGAATTAGTCAGAGAATTTAAATACCTAGATTTTACCTGGACGGATAAACTATCGTTGAAACTAACAATCGAAAAAGCGATAGGAAATATTCAGAGATCGCTAGGAAAACTAAAATGGATGAAATCTGGTCGCGAAATGTCATGTAAAGCTCTCCGGCAATGTTTTTTCGCATTCACGTTCCCTCATTTCGCTTGGCTATTTCCACTTTTTCCACTCCTCCCAGAATCTCAACAAAATATATTGCAACAAAAATTCCGTGTGGGACTTCGGCTGGTGCATCGCTGCCCCTTCGTTTCTGCTCATAATCTGTTCAATGTCACCTCAGAACAACCCTTAGAATTTTATGTTAAAAAATATATTCAACGAAGACTAAAGACCATTTTCACAACTGATCTTGGTTCTTCATTGTTCTATGAAGATATTTTTGGGTGGGACAACTTTTATAAAAGAAAAAACGATCATCTTGGGCATTTTTTTGTTCACGTCGTGTTCGGCAATTGAAAGATCGACACGAGTCTTTCCTTTTTAAATGGTTGTCCTTTGTTGATGTGAATTAATGTCACAGAAAGACGCTTAAATGTAATGCTTATGCAATTTTCTTTTTTCATTCTTGCTCTCTTTCTTATTACTTTTTATCTCGCATTCGTTTCTCTTGGTTTGTTCTTCGTCTTTTTTCGAGTTGCTCGCTCTGCTCACGTATTTCCGCTGCTACTCATCATCAGTACTTCTCTCACTATCTTCTTCTCTTTCTTTTACTCTTGGTTGATTTTTTTTTTCTTTTTCATTTATTTACTCTCTATATATCCTCATGTGCAGAAGTTGGTACTCAGTATAGCATATTGTTGGCACAAATTGTAACGCTTTGCTTTAATGATACACCATTTCGCTTATACATCTATAATTCTCTCTTTTATTATGTAAGCACTTCCGAGTGTTACAGACACGAGCATAATAAAAAAAAAAAGATAAAGACAATCATCAAAAGTATATACAGTAATAACTAATTTAGTTAGAGATGAAGATACACAAGTTGTTGATGGTAGATCAAAAAACGAAAATTCTATGCGTTCATCTATCCACCGTAGACGAAAGGTCAAATTAGTTAGACATTTACCAATAGATAATATAAATGAAAATATATCTAATTCATTTCCACCAGGTATGCCTCTTTTTTTATCACGAATACTGACTTGAAGATGTGTAACTTGATTAGTAACAAGACGAGAAAGTATATTGTCACGTTAAATGTACGAAACAAAATCCTAATAGTTCATGAATATAAATCCAATTTACAACAATACCTGTTAAATGCTGAAAAAATGTTTCTGATTGAAAATTGACTAGTGATAACGATGTAAGAACAGGATAATCAATAGTTTTAAGAATACATTTCATAGAAGATGGTGCAATAGTGAGTTTAGTTACTTTATGATAAATTTGAGGTAATATTTTTGCACGAATCCGATCGAAAATTTGATTATTTACTGGAGAATTATGATAAAGCGATGGTGGAACCGTTAAATCTAAATGACGAACATAGAAAGAATCGAGTACTAAACAATTAAATCGTTGATCCACATTCACCAATGAATAGAGCGTTTCGATCATATGTAGCTTGCTAAATATGATAAATAATACTTCGTTAGGTAAATCGAGTATATTAACATCGTTTTTATTTAACGCATTCATATTCATATCTATCTCATATTTTTTATTGTGTTCCATTCCATTTCTTCTTCTCTACATCGATACATCCATATATATACAGTAAAACTTCCCTTAGATGGGCACCGTCGGGACTTTTTTAAATCGCCCACTTAATGGAGGTGCCCTTGTTATAGAGGTTTTTACAGATATTGGTCACAAACACTAATCATACATATATATTACCAATCTATCCTTAGACCATCGATTGTATCAGGATTTCACTCTCATTATTTAATGTCTTTTCTTCAACTAAGTTTATTTTCTATTTTCTTATTTACAATCAAGTTTTTCGAAAAAAATCCGTAATTGAGCTTTGCTTGTTGGTTTTTGAATCAATGTAAAATTATCGTTGATCAATTCGATCTTCTTGTCAAGCGTAAGATAATGATGCGACGTCATTTCTCAATGATTTTATTCAGCAATGTCAAATAACATGACTATTTATACTTTTTTATCACTGAATGCACAATCAACAAATGTATAGA